CCGGGTCGCCCACAGGACGTGTCCCTGGTCAGTAGCAGCAGCATCTCCTGGGTGGAAAGAGGTGTCCCAGTCCTGCCTGGGGTCCAAATCTGAACTCGCCTCCCCCCAGCCCAGGGGAACACTGAGGAGTCTGAGGCACATGGCCCTGCAGCAGGGTCAGGGCCATCAGGTCAGCACCGTGACTGCCCCTCAGCCCCAGCCAACGTCACGCACCAGTCAGGACCCTTGTCCAAGCGGGGTCAGAACCGCAGGGTCCTCCGACAGCTTCTGACCCACACGCAGGAAGACAGCAGTGCCCTGACATCTAAAGCGGGAGCCTTGTAGCTGGGCGGTCCCCTAAGCAGCCCCCTGCTGGGGTCCTCCCCAGGCAGCCCTACTCTCTTCCAGAAAAGGGGATCCCACGTGCTCCCAGGGTTAGGCCTGCCCGATATGTGCAGCCCTAGCCCAGCCCTGTGTCCCAAGAGAAGCCCCCACCCAGGCCTGTGCTGTCAGGAAGGACAGCCACCTCCAGGTTCCAGCCAGCTCCAGGAAGGGACAAGGGTGTGGAGAGAGGGGCTTGAGAGGACTGGACAGCTGGCCAACCACTCCTCCGGGCACTTACAACCATCCAGGGACGAGGTCTGACTGGTCCCGGCCTCCACTCCCCCCTTTCAATAGAAGTCCTCAAGTGTCCCAGGCCCGTCCCACCACCGCAGCCCAGGCCTTGGGACAGGTGAGGCAAGTGTCCCCAGGGCACAGGAGCTCCACTCAGGGCCCAGCCCGGGTCACGGCACTTAGGAGGGCTCAGCCTCTGGCTGGTGCTGCCCTGCGGTGGCCTCGTGGGTCTAGGGGCACAGGGGGACCTGGATCTTTGCGGACAGAGGGCAGACTGTAGCAAATTCTAGAACCTCAAGACAACCAACCCCTCCCAAACACATCCCTCCCCTGCACACCCCTCCCCTTCTCCCCAGATATCCTCCTGCCTGCACACCCCTCCCCTTCCCTACACGCCTCTCCCCAAGGCACTCACACAGGAGGAAGACTCCCCGCTCCTGTCACCCTCGAGCACAGAGGGGCCACCAAGCTAGTCGGCCCGGCACCTGTATCTTGACAGAGAGTGTCAGGAGGGTGTCAGCTCCCGCCAGCTGAACTCACATCCCCTCCTCACTCACACTTGCCACCGTCCCCTCCCCAAGTGTTCCCACTGCTTGGAAGGCAGCCAGCCCCTCCCCTGGAGACTCCGGTGGCCCCAGGGACCCCACGGAGCTTACAGCGGACCGTGCCCGTCCCCAGCAGACTAAGCTTCCTGTGTGCCGGTGTGTGGAACTGCCCACAGACTCGGGCAGAAGGGCTGGCGGGGTGAATGAGAGCTGGGGGCGAACCCCGCCAGGTGGCAGGCCAGAGGACACGGGGCTCATCAGTATGTTGGGTGGCACTTGGGTCAGCAGGCCAGGGCCCGGGAGGTGTCTGCAGAAGGCAGTGGAAAGGCTGTTCACACAGGAGCCCAGAGCCCGAGAGCTGACCAGGGCAGATTCTCTAATCAAACACCGTTATGTAATTAGAGTCCGCTCCCAACCTAGGAGACCGGAGGTGGGACCAGAGGTGGGAATAATTACCGCTGTGTAAGAAACCCAGACACCAGAGCAGGGAGCAGGGCGCTGTCCCTCCCAGGGCACCCGAGCCCTGTGCTTGGGAACTGAACCCGAACTGAGGGCAGAGGTCAGAGGCAGGGGTGGGGTCCCGGGGTGGCAGGAGCTCTGCATTCTGAGGACATCTGCCTCCGCAGGACAAGCAGCGGATACCCCAGCTCCAGCTGCAGCCCCAATCCCGGGGTCACTGCCCTCTCTGAGCCTCAGTTTCCCTCGCAGAGGAGGTCCCAAGTCAGGGCTCAGCTTGCCTGTGACCAGAGGAACAAGAAGGGACAAGGCCTGGCAAGAGGCCCTGCAGACTCTTGGCCCAGGAGCAACCAGAAGACACATCTGAATTCAAAGACACCAGTAATCTCTGATTTTCTCCCAAGGACCCGGCAAATGACATTTCCGGATCTCAGCAGAGCCTTGAGAAACACAAGCCAACGTCAGGAACACGTGTCTAATTATCACTTTACCCTACGTTATTTTAGGGCCTTTAGAAGAAAATGCAGTTGATGGAGTCTGACTTCAAAACAAGGACGCTGTTCACGTAGGCCGAGGGCCTGGGGTCTAGAAGCAGGAGACTAGCTGCCCCGGGGAACGCGACATCAGAGAAAGGGCCGGAAGGCTGGCGTCTTGCTATCTCCACAGCCAGCCAGCTCTCCCGATAGCCTGGAGACACGCGGCGACGGCAGCACCCTGGAAAGCCCGGGTCACGGGGTGGCGGCCACCAACCCACTGGGGCCAAGCAGGGGCTGAGCCCCCACATCGCAGCACAGTGACATCAGCCCAGGCGGCCGTCACGGGTGCCATGGCTGCGCCAAGAACGTTCCAAAAGCAGTTTGCTAAACACCTGGCTTCCAGGCAACACAGGACCCTGACAGGCACGGCTACCGGCGCCTGACTCACCACCCCGGCAGAGGCTGCCAGCACCGACGCCCTTCCGTGCCCAAGACAAAGGCCCCGAAGCACCACCGAGGCCTGCGACCGCACGCAAGCTGGCAGAGAGGCTTCGGGGCCGGCGTCAGGCTCATGCGTCACCGTCTGCCCAGGACCAGACCCGGACCCATCCTGGCGAGCTCCCTGTAGACAGGGCCCAGCAATCTGCAGTCCAGCGATCCACGTACCCGAGAATGACCCGAGTAGGAGCCGGCCCTGGCGGCCTGCTTGCGGTGGTCTCACAGACCCTGGGGGCCACGCGTTCTCACCGACCCCTTCCTCCTCACCGCCCCCCGCCCCGGAGCAGGCCAGCAGGGTTGCAAAGAAGGCAAAGTGAGGGACACGGAGGGGATGTGCTGTGGGCACTTGTGAGTCGGGGTCCCGAGGAACCCCCCCACCCCAGCTGGACACCACGTGGAGACCCTGGGCTTAGTCACCTAGGCCCACACAGGCCCACCGCGTCCTGCCCCTCACACATCCACTCAGACATTCATTCATCCGATGTGCTGCCACCAGGCTGCGCAGCCCTGGGTGACGCCGACCCAAGCGGTCAGAGCAAACGCTACCCTGGAGTCTCGATCCCCGGGAAAGAAGGCACAGAGAACACGAGGGGGAAACACGGGGCAGGGCACGTGCAGGAAGGGAGAACGCGGCGTGGCGTGGGTTGGCGTGGCGTGGAGGGGGACCCTCTCCACCACATAAGGAAGCCCAGCCCGCACGCAGCTCCTGCTCAGAGCTCTGCTGTCCCCTCTCCTGTGTCAACACCCCGCCCCAGTCTCCCCACGCCCAGCGCTCCCCCACCCCACCTCACGAGCGGTGTTGGACTCTGGACGTGCACCCTCTATTCAGCTGGGGGTTCTGAGAACCCTGGTGCCCAGACCAGCCTCCTGGCCGAGTGCACCTCCACAGATTCACGTCTTCCTGGAGCCTCAGAACGTAACTGTATTTGGAAATGGAATCTGTGCAATGAGTTAATTAAGCTGAGATCATTCTGGAGGAGGGTGGGCCCCGACCCATGGGTGCATGTGAAGGCAGAGACAAGGAGAGTCCCTGGGCGGCCACCAGCCTAGAGATGCCGGAGTCACTGGCAAACCGCAGACACTGGAAAAGGCAAAGACGTCCCCCCACGTGGAGGTCTCTGGAGCAGCATGGCCCTGCCAGCACCGACCCGACTTCCAGCCTCCCAGGAGAGAATAGGCTTCTGGAGCTTGAAGTCACGTGTCTGGTAATCTGTTACCTAGGAAACAAATTCAGCAGGTGCCTCAGACAAGAGTCCAGCCTGGCCCCGACTTGTGGGGAAAACACCCGGCTGTATGTGTTTGGGGAATGTTCGTTATTCGGCGATCACAGCAGTTGGTAACTGATACACATGTCCACCAAAAGAATGGGACAGCAACTGTAGCAACAAGAAGGGAAGAGAGAGAGGGGGGTGTTTAGTGGGGAAGGCAGATCCAGGTGGGCCACGGGAGTGCAAAAGGGGGTCTTGAAGGTTTCTGGCTGGGGGCCAGGGGAGGTAACGGTCCCTTGGCCTCCTCACCAGGGAAAGCTTCAGAGGTGAGCCTGGGGACAGGGCAGGCAGGGCCCATCAGGGAAAAGGGACAGTCAGGGGCTTGGAGAGGAGCCCTTGGACTCAGAGGGACAAGGCCTACAACGGGCTCGCTGCTCCAGCCTGGCACTGTGCTTAGGCGGCATGTTCTCTGTCCCCTCCCCGACTGGTTCTGGTGCTGTGCACCTGGACAATAGGCACGGGGGGTAGGGACACCGGCCAGCTCTGTGGGGCCCACGGTGCGCCTAGTTAAGGACACAGTCCCCAGCCAGCGCTCCGCGAGGGCCCTGAAGGCAGGTCCCAGAGCTGTCGGCCCATGCGCCCGAAGCGCACAGGGTTTAAGATGCACAAACAGTACTGGTCTATTCCGTGTCTCCACCTAAACTCACCACCCAGTAACTCACGCCCATTGCAACACACGGCAGAGCGGTGGCTGGAAGCTTCCCGTCCCACTCAGGCCAGGCGTCTGGCCACACCCGGGGGGCCACACCCAGGGGGGCGCCTGCAGGACTGGAGCTCCCGTTTCCAACCCCACGAGCCCCAGATCATCTGAGCAGCAGCCGTCATTGGGGTCTGGTACTCTGCTCGGGAGGGGGGGGTTGTCCCCACACGTTTGAGGTTTCTCAGCCCATTTCCTTGGGGTGAGTCCTGAGGTCGGCGGAAGGGGCAGCGTACGGACCTCACCTCCTCGCGGGGAGCCCACCCAGCCTCCCTCCGGCCTCTCCCTTACCCACAGCTCGTGCTCTCAGAGCGGCCGAGGGGGAGGGCCTGATAAGGGCACGAGGGGGCGAGCAGGCCCAGCCGTGGTCAGACGGGACTTGCTGCGGGACCAGGACGGAGATTTTCTCCTCAGACAACACGTAAGAAGAGCCTTGCAGCCACTGTCACCAAACGCAGACAACACAGGCGTGATGGGGAAACGCCCAGGCATCCGCGCCGTCTCCCAGGCGGCCAGTGCCCCACTCTTTTTCCCAGCAGTGATTTTATTGCAGAAACGAGTTTGTCACAAATACCACTTTGTAAACAGCTTGTCTCACTTATGGAGAACTGGTTTCTGTGCTGAGAACAAGACCATACCGTCCCTTAGGGCCTGGCGGTCCTGGCGACATGACCACGCTGACCTCTGGCTGAGGGGACTCGGCTGCCACCTGCAGCCTCTGTGGTCTTATCTGTCCCTTCTGTGTCCCGTCCCTGTGATGTGTCCACACCGTGTGCTCTTGTGCAGAGAAGGGGTCCAGGATCCGATTCCATTCAGCCATCCGTTCCTGGACAGGCCCGGCGGACACTGCTGAGGTGTCTGTGTGTCGTGAGCACGGCGGCCACGCCACTAGAGGTCAGGGACAGATCAGCCACAGGGCCCAGACTGGCCTGGCGCCCGGACGCAGAGGCAGCACGCCCAGGCTGTCGCCCGCCTGTGAGGGGCGCTGGTACCCAGGCCCCGTCCTGGGCCCAGAGCTGCCGCCGCGGGGGCCCAGGCCTCTGAGCCACACATCCACGAGCTCGGGGCCTCTGGCCGGAAAAGCAGCCCCCTCCACATCCTCGAATCAAGGGTTTAAGTCTGATTTCCCACAGTCCGGCCTCCAAACCCCAGGCTTCTCACAATAAATACCCATCCTGCTCTCGGGTCAGCCGCCGCAGGGCGGGACCAGGCCTGTGCCCCGCGTCCAGGCTGACGGACAGCAGCGGCCCTGCTCCCCTTAACCACAAGAGCAGGTGGAGGGGAGCAACCTGGGCTCGGGGCCACAGCGGGGAGAGGGCCGGGGGAGCGGCACGGAGACAAAACGGGAGAAGCAGACAGGAGATGTTCCATCCGAGCCCCCGGGAACCGGGAGGGCGGCAAGCGCTCCCGAAGCACGGAGCAACGTGGACGCGTCTCGGGATCCTGACGCCTGCCGGGCGGTAGGTCGTGCCATCCCGGTCGGCCGGCCCAGAAAAGCCCAAGAGCAGCCTGGAAGGAAGCCCGCAGGCCCACTGCCCGAGGTCACGCCACAGCTCATCCTCACGGTGGGCACTGCCGCCGGGTTCAAGGCGATGACGGCAGGGGCGGGTCCTCGGGGCTCACGGCACGCCTCCGCACCAGGTCAGAGCTGGCCGCCGCCGTGCAGCTGCATCTGCTGGGCCAGCTGCTGCCCGATGGCCAGCAGGGGGCTGGCCCTGTAGGACGGACTGGCCAGCAGCTCCCGAAACCGGGCCCTTTCTTCCTCGCTGAAAGAACGGAGATCAGAGCGGGTCAGCGAACCCCAAAACACCTCAGTGTGGGGTGCTAGGGACGGGCGCCGGCACCGCCTCCCCTCAGCCACCCCATACTCAGGCACCTCGGGCGGGGCTGGGCACTGGAGCGGGCGGGCCAGGCCAGGGGTTACCCCGGGACAGAGCACCTGGGGCCTAAGGGTCACCACAGGGAGGTGGCGGGGGGGGGGGGGGGCGGCACTAGGAGGGACTGTACGTGCCCATGGGTCCGGGACACCGGCCCCTCCTCCAGGGAGTGGGCTCTGGGCCCCCATCCCAGCCTTCGTGGGGAGCTGCGACTCAAAGCAGGAGGAAGCTGACAAACGTGGGGAGGCAGAGCCTGCCCGCGGCCTGCACAGGCGGCCTTACATAAGAGGCGCCCTCCCCCTCCCCGCAGCTCTGCTGAATCCGCAGTCACGGAGGGGCGGGAGCTCCGCACCCGCCAGCCCGAGACCGGCCCTTCTCGCAGAGGGCGCCGCGGCGACAGAGGTGCGATGGGAGACGGGACGGCTTCCTCCGGGGGTGGGGGTCCGGGGCCCCGCGAGTCCAGGTGGTGGCTGCCGCCCTCCCCACCGCCGGTCTCTGAGCCCAGCCAGCCCCTCTCAGATGAGCCAGGGCCAGCTCGAGTCTGGTGGGCACCCCTGGGGGACGTCACCTCTGCACGGAAACTAAGGGGACCCGGTCCGAAACCTCAGGATGGCAGTTCCAGAAGCAGTCTGGGCAGGGGGGGGGGGATGTGTCGCAGCAGGGGCCGCCCGGCCTGGGGCAGGTGGGGGCAGGACAGGCAAGGCCAAACCTCAAGGTGCCTTCCTGGCTGTCGTCAGGGAGACCGCCCCCTCTGGACCGACTGCCCAAGCCAGGTGTCCGCTCCCGATGCCCGGGATGGCCGGGGGCCCTGGGCTCCAACGGGGACCCCCTAAGGGCTGGCAGCGCTGGTTCTGGTAGCTTCTGCTCCCTTTGCTGCCCACGGAAGGGGCTCCCAGCCCAGCTGGAAACAGGGTGCTGCACGCCAAGTGGTCCGCAGTGCCCGAGCGGACCCGGGCCGGACACCGGACAGCACGGGGGGCATGACGGGAGGAGAGGGGTGGGAGCGGTGGAGCCCCATTTGCGGGTGGGCCCTACTCACAGGAGCTGGAGCCTCTGCGTGGCACTCATGCGGCTCAACTCGGCGGGCCGGGGCCTCCTGCTCACCCTCACCCTGTTGGGGACACAGAGAAGCAGGTCAGCGTGGGGACCCTGGACCCCTTCTCACCATGGGACTCCCCACAGGACCCAGCACAGCCCATCTCCCTGGGGAGCCGGTACCAAGAGACACGTCTACGTGGCGGGCGGCAAGAAGGGCGAGAAAACCAGAGCCCGGAGCCAACACCTAAATTTAGCCTCTAGACCAGAAGGCCTCGTTCTTTATTCATGTTTTCTGATAAAATATGAATGAAAGACCGGTCTCCTGAGCCTAAGAGAGCACCTGCACCCGCCTCTCCTCTCACTCACGCTGACTCGAGTGCCCGCTCTCAGGCAGGGCCGCCAAGACGGCCACGTGCATCCCCAAGGGCCCGTCCCAGACTCCGAGCCTACGGCCAGGCTTTCCCGAGTCACCCTCTGCCCCAGGCCACCTCGGCTCTGCTCCTCTCGCTGCTGACCCTGTATTCACCCGGGAGCAGACCCCTCGCAGAACGGGCCGGCATCCCAGGCCTTGGGCCACCCAAGGTCTGTAAAATGGTAAAATCCACTGATGCTTCCCACAGCCCTCCAGCTCTGCCAGCAGAGACACATCTGGGAGTCCCCTCGGTGCCCGTGGGCCAGGTGACCCCCCTAGCAAGGTGGGAGGCCAAGACGGTCACCGAGCCTCAGGGCACGGCTAGGACCCCGGTAAGCAGCTCCCGGGGGGAGGCTCCCGTCCTGCGGACAAAGGCAGACAGGGTGAATCCCCAAGGCCATCGGGGTGAGCAGAGCCAACACCCCAGCACAAACCCAGCCAACCCCTCAGTCCTGTCCCCTCTGTCCAGACAGGTCCGGGCCTTGGTCTGCTTTGAAATGACCAAGGCAGAGAGCTCGTAGAAGGGCAGCCACTCACTCGTGGCCTCCGAGCTTGGTTCTGGCTGCAGACCGAGCACGGCAGATGGTGGCTGGACTGAGACCACCCCCCACCCCCGGCGGGAATGCCGTGCGGCTCAGAGCACACAGCCTGGCTCGCTGCTCAGGTACCCGCACAGGTGACCCCAGCCTCACCAGCAACTGGAGGCAGTGGCTCTGGACATCGGCTGACCCAGCATAAACCTTGGGAAAACCAATGTAGCCCTGAAGCCTCAGTTTCCCTGTCAAACAGGCAAATGCTTTCCTGGCAAACTCCGGGTAGCCAGGCCCGCAGTCCCAAGGCGGGTGACCCCCGGCACGTCCACCCTCACCACTGTCACTCCCCCGCCACGGGTGAGCCCACAGGGCACGCCCGGCCCCCAGGGGCCTCAGAAACCAAGTGTGTGGAAGAAACACCAAACGGCGCCGGTGGGAACACACAGACTCCTGCGTAAACCCACAGCCCGACGAGCGAACCCGAGTCCACCCGGGGGGGGGGGGGGGGGGGCGGCCAGTGGAGCCGTGCTGCCACCTCTAGCCAGCTCTCCAGCAGCAGCCACCAGCCGGGGGCCGCTCCAGGGTAGCGGCGGCAGCAGCCTCCTCAAGACGTGGCCAAGGCCACCTGGACCCGACGGAGTCCCGCGGATGGGCGGCCTCGCCCCTGTGCCCGCTGGCCCGGTGGCTCGGCTGCATGGGGCTCCCCACCCGGTTCGTCAGAACGGAAAAGACGACCTTCACCTGACACTCTCTTGCCCAGAGGACTGATTTCTAGAGAAGCTAACCTTCCCAAGGAGCAGCAGGACTGTCGACCGTCCGCGTGCTGGCTCGTGTCAGGAGCCCTCTGTGGCGCCCACACGGATGGAGGCTGGGACACGGCCAGGGGTAGGCATGCTCCAAAAGCCCCGAGCCCCGGGCTCCCTGCCGCCATCGCCCCGGGAGGCCACATCACGGATGTGGAACAAGCCTGGAGTGGCCCGGGGCCTCGGTCAGTGTGTCCCAGTGGGTGCCTGGGGACCCCTGCGTTCAGGTCTGGGTGTCCAGGGTGCCGAGGCCATCCCCACACCACGTCCTGTCCGACCCGGACTCTGGGACTTGCCCAGAGGGTGTGGACAAGAGCAGTCACGGAGCCATCTGTGCCGTCCACACCCTCTGAAGTCACCCACCGGGGGGACCTAACCCCAGCAGCACGGCCTCCTCCCGGGCTCCGAGGAATCTGGCCACAGAAGGCCAGGAAGAGGCCCGGACGCTTCCTGTGATGAATGCTGATGGGCTGGGCCTGCTCTTGGCGAGATGGGGCTGGGGGCTCCCGGCCAGGCACAACCGGGCGGGAGGGAGTACAGGGACCCAAGGCAAAGCTTGCGGCTGCGGGGGTGATGGCCACCCGACTCCTTGCCGGACCGAATGCTCTAGGTGCTTCCATCCCAGGAGGTGGCCTGGGAGCTTCCCGCTCTACAGCCGAGTGGCCCTGAGCACACGGCCTGACGCCCCCCGCCCTCAAGCCTGTGAGCGGGGAGGGGACAGCAGAGGGACCGGCTTCTCTAGAGCACGCACAGCAGGGCGGCAGGAAGCGCTACCGGGACGTGTGCGTCTCGGACGGGGTACCAGAGGCAGGGGGCACGGTGCCAGGCTGCGTCTCTGGGGAGTGAAGCAGAGGGCACACGGGGAACAGAGCCCAGCAGCGGTACAGGAGGGACACCCCGCCCCCCATGCAGCAGCCCTCCCGGCGAAGCCGTTCTGAGGCCCAAACGGCCGGCAGGCGCCCCTCCTCGACGTGCTGGCCAAGGGAGGCCCCACCCCCTGCTGACCTCGCGGCTGGGCCCGTGGAAGCAAGCGTTTCTGCATCAACAACCGGGCCAGGCCTCTCTGGGGCCTTTGCCTGCCTACCCCTCCCCTCCACCATTTCTTCTCCCGCTCTGGCCCCCGGCCCGGCCTCGCAGCCTCAAGTTCCCGAGGCAGCCGCACACAGACGCTCACCCTGCAGAACGCAGCCGCCGGCCACCGGCCTCCAGCTCCAGCAGCTCAGGGAGGGCGTCCTTCAGGGGCTGCAGGTCCCCCACCACCACCGTGGCCCTCCGTCTCCGCTCTGCCTTGCGCTTCTGCTCGGCCAGCTTTATGGCTTCGATCTCTGGGGAAGAGGAGACATGAGGTCAGTGACAGAAGCAGAGAACGAAGGATGGGCAGCTTCCTTCCTGCCGGCACCCCGGGAGCCCGGGGGCAGGCCGGCACCCCGTCACAGAGGCACAATTCCTAATGGCAGAATGATGAGACTGAACTGCAGGCACGGAGGCCTTCTCCTTCTGAAAAGGGACACTAGCACGGCGGCCTGTGCCTTTTGGGGGCAGGAGCAGGGATGTGCGGTCAGAAGCGGGCAAACGGACAAGGATTTAAACAGTGAGTCACCTACGGCAGGGCCACATCTCCTGTGCTCTCCAAGTGCCTCTCGGGACCGGGAGGGAGGAAGTGCGTCCCCACGTAGGGGAGTTGATATAGTGGGGCCCCAGGAAGCCTCTGCACAGAAGTCGTTTCTAGAAACTGCAAGCACCCACCTGCCAGGGACAAGCACTAAGGGAGGCTCCGTCCACAGACACAGGAGCCGGCCCCCTCCGAGCCCACGGCACCAGGGCAGCGCCGCGCACCCCAAAGTCCCTCGGCTGTCCGGGGCCAGCTCTGAAGAGCCCACCCCGCCTGCTCCAAAGTCAGAGACACGCAAGCTGCCCCCAACCAGGGTCCCAGAGAGCCCAGGGGGCCCTGGGGAGTGAGGCTGCTCTCCCTGCCCCGAAGAGCTGGGCTCTGGGGGACAAGGATGGCCGCCCCTCAATGCTCCGGACCGTCAGGATCACAAGGGGACAGGTCGGTACTTCCCATCCTGCCAGGGAGAGGATAAACAATTTACTGAGGTCCCATCTAACCAGGCGCCGCTTCTCCGGGAGGCAAACATCCTAGGACGGCTGCAAAGGCCAGGGCGGGCGTGCTGACAGACCGGCGCCGGGACCGAGGGCAGCAAAGCACAGGCCCGAGGCTCCGGGGAAGACACCTACACACGGCTGCACAGACGTTAGCAAATCCAAGTGGAAGTGCTTTAAATTAGTAACACGTGTTAACTAGCTGGAGCGTGTCCGAGGCGCACAAGGGTGATTCGACGCAGGGACGTCTGCCAGGGGGTCTGCAGCGGTCTGCTTCAACAGAAAGGCCACCATCGCTATAAGAAATGCCAAAAGGAAGATGCAAGAATTTACTATCCTGGGGACACCTGGGCGGCTCAGTCGGTTAAGCGTCCGACTTCAGCTCAGGTCACGATCTCGCAGTGTGTGGGTTCAAGCCCCGCGTCGGGCTCTGTGCGGGCAGCTAGGAGCCTGGAGCCCGCTTCTGATTCTGTGTCTCCCTCTCTCTCTCTGCTCCTCCTCCGCTCACTCTCTCCCTTTTTCTCAAAAATAAACATTAAAAAGTTTCTATTAAATTAAACAAAAAAGAACTCACTATCCACTCACCGTAAAAGTTATAATTGAGCCGTGAACAGAAGGACATTCTCTAATTTGGCAGGAGATTATCTACCAGAAACCTCATATTCTCTGGCAAAACATCAGAAGCCCCACACCAATCCGTCATGGGCAGCTCAGCACCTAGGGAGGGTGGGCGGCAGTGAGAACCCATAGGGCAGAGCTCGGCCGGCCCAATCAACCCACCAAACTAATTCCAAATCTTATTTTTAAAAAAAAATTTTTTTTTAATGTTTATTTATTTTTGAGACAGACAGAGACAGAATGCAAGTGGGTTAGGGGCAGAGAGAGAGGGAGACACAGAATCCAAAGCAGGCTCCAGGCCCCAAGCTGTCAGCACAGAGCCCGACATGGGGCTCGAACTCACGAGCCATGAGCCGAAGTCGGACCTGAGCCGAAGTCGGATGCCCAACCAACTGAGCCACTCAGGCGTCCCCTAGATTTTTTTTTTTTTTTTTTTTTTTAATTTTAAGAGAGACAGAGAGAGAGCAGGTGTGCACACTCACACAAACAGTTGAGGGGCAGAGAGAGACAGAAAATCCCAAGCAGGCTCAGCGTGGAGCCCAATGCAGGGCTTGATCTCAACCAGGAGATCATGACCTGAGCCAAAATCAGGAGTCGGATGCTCAACCAACTGAGCAACCCAGGCACCCCCAAATCTCGTTTTTAAAAGAACTGAATGGTAAGAGTAGCCAAACGTTTTTTAGAAGAACAAGCAACAAGACAGTGGGCCTCCCGGACACTGAAGCAAACTGTGAAGTGACAGAAATCCCAACAGTGTGGCGTCACCGGGCAGGTGTGAAGGGCAGCCTTCCACCTGCTGTCCCAAAAACTAAGCAACAATGAAACACGACAAATAAAACAAAAAGAAACGTAAAGCCAGAAAACACAGGCGCCAGGCACTGATGTACACGCGTGCACGCACATACACACGCACGAACACACACACACACCCCAGGTAAATACAAAAATGTGTGCGACTTTAATCTTGCGCCACCAGCCGGCGGTTACCCCCGTATGGAACTTGGCAGTGAATGCGGTCTTCGGCTTTGCCCGTGTTACCTAAACAGCTCTGTAACTTTTTCACGTGGGGCTGAAACATTACCTTATCCTCAGATTTGGGTGCCCTTTCATTCCAGCCCGGGGGCTCAGGGAGTGAGAACAGTGAATTAAAGGGGTGTCAGTTCCGTGCCAACCGGCTCAGCACAGGCGCTCCAGGCCAGCAGCTCTCGGCAGGGGCGACCTCGCCGCCGTCCCCACGGTTCCCGCCCAGCCGGCTCTCCCCTGCTTCTGCGCTGAGCCCCAGGGTCGCTCCCGTCTCCCAGCCAGAGACGGGGCCGCACAGGGAGGGAGGCAGAGGTGCCCCCCCGGAGTGTCCTCCGAGGCCTGGACCCTGCCATGCCCTCTTCTGGCGTCGAAGCCACCCTTCTTCCTTCCAGGCAGGCGGGTCGGGGCCTCCCCTCCCCTCACGGGCTCCGACATCTTTGTACCTAGGCTGGAGATAGCCCCCTTGGCGGACTTCTCTCCAAGTAAACCCTTCTGGGGGTGCTGGGCCTGACAGACCACACGCTGATGCCTGTCCCCCAGGAACAGTCTCACGGCCGGCCCACTCATAAGCAAAGACGGACAGGGAAAGGTCCATTCTACCAACTATGTGGTCTAGAGCAGCAAGTTCTGAGTGTTTTGGGGGTAGGTAGGAGGCTCCTCCTGCCCCTACCGCTCTCCCCTGGCTGGCTCTGGAAGGTTCCCAGAGACTGTCACTCCTTTATCCTAAATGGTTTAATTGAAAACTAGCCTGATGGGGCACCTGAGTGGCTCAGTCGGTTGAGCATCTGACTCTTGGTTTTGGCTCAGATCACTCAGGGTCATGGGATGGAGCTCCGCACTGGGCTCCGCGCCGAGTGGAGCCTGCTTGAGATTCCCTCTCTCTCTGCCCCTCGCATGCATGCTCTCTCTCTAAAATAAAAATTTTTAAATCATTGGGGCGCCTGGGTGGCTCAGTCGGTTAAGTGTCCGACTCGATTTTGGCTCAGGTCACGACCTCACAGTTTGGTGGGTTCGAGTAACGTGGAGCCTGCGTGGGATTCATTTTCTCTCTCTCTCTCTCTCTCTCTGCCCCTCCCCCACTCGCGCGGTCTGTCTCTCAAATCAATAAACTTGTCAGGAGAATGACCAGGAAAGTCACAGTCTGGAAGAAAATCTGCAACACGTGTACATGACCCAGGGCTGGCCTCCCGGACGTAAGAACAATTCTTGGAGCTCAGGAACAGAAGGCAAAGGCAAAGAGCCTCACGAAACCACACACGACCGGACATGCCGTGCAAGCGGGAGCGGCCGGTGAAACGCCCGGTGGCGGTAACGAGCGCCAACGCCACGAGGAGCGGCTGACACCCTGCCTGGCACTCGGACGCCGCCGCGCCCTGGCAGAGCCGTGGCGCGGGTGGAACGCGCCTCCGCGGCCGGTGGGAGCGTAAGTGTACAACCACCCTAGGAAACGTCTGGCAGCTGCTTATTAAACTAAACATACACCTGCCCTATGACCCCGCGTTCCATTCCCAACTACTCATCCCAGAGAAATGAAAACATATTCCACAAAAAGACCTGTGAAGAACGTTCACAGCCTTTTTCACGGTAGCTAAAAAGAGAAAAAGACCAGGTGTCCGTCCGTAGGAAAGTGGGTAGCAAAGAGTACATCCAGATAAAGAAATCCTTCTCGGCGACAGAAGGGCACGGGCCATAGCTGCGCTCAGCAGAGAGGACTCTCAAAAACACCACGTGAAGCAAAGAAATCCAGACACGAAGAGAGTACGTCCTACGAGATTCCACGTACGTGACGTCTAGAGCAGTAAAATCTAGTGAGACTCCAAAGAAATGAGACAGGGGTCACCTGCAGGGTAGTCGAGAATGCGGAGCGAGGGGACTGCGTGGGAAGGCGCACGGGGACTCGCCGGTGACGGTGGCCTTCTGTGTCTCAAAGGAACTCTGGTTGCACACGTGTGCGCATTGGTCACAAATCGCTGCCTGGCACTTCACTGCACCCAATTTCACCTCAAAATAGAAATGAAAAACCATCAACAGACGCTGAACCGTACAACTATTTGGGAGAAAGTGTGCTGACGTCTGCCACTCAGGAATGTGCACAGAATGCGGGTGGTGGACAGACGGACAGAAACGGACAGACGAGCAGACGTGGGAAAGAAGAAGTGTCCACGTAAAACCGAGGTGGTGGTTTCAGGTTTCCCCGTAACATTCCCCCTGCTCTTGCGTGACATTTTTCATGACAGAATACTAGGTAAGACCGAGTGGGGTGACGTGGGCACCACCACAGCCCGCCGTTCCTGAACAAAACTGTAAGACAAACGAGCTAAGTAACTCAAACTCAAAGAAAGAAAGAACAGCGTGTTAAAACAACAGAAACTGAGAATTCAGACCCAGAGAAAGTAGAAGTAACAAGCGAATACAGGAACTGACTCCCGGGACGGAAGAGATGGAAGACGGGTGCAAACACAGGACAGCGAACAGGGGCTCTGATGACGAGGGGCCCGCAGCCCTTTGCTAGTGAGGGCAGAGATCGGATTAGAGAAGATGTTTTACGGGAAACTACAGGTGGCCAAGACTGACCCAAGCAGTGAGACAAAGACACCGACCAGCACGGGAAGAAAATGTTAAACATCAGCTCAACGCTGCAGCCCAGACACGTGCAGGGTCCCAGTGGCCACCGTCTATCAGCTTTCCAAATCTAGTACACAGAGGATATTCTGTACGTCTCCGTGCCAGGAACCATGACAAAGAAAATCAATGAATGAATCACTTCCTTAAGGAACTTCCCCAAAGTGACCAAAAAGTAAAGTAATTGTGGGAGAAACAGGCAAATTTCTCTAGAAAATTTAAGAAGTATATTTTCTTTAAAACCTTCAAGGAGGGGCGCCTGCATGGCTCAGGCTGTTAAGCATCCAACTCTTGATTTCGGCTCAAGCCCTGATCCCAGGGTCAAGGGTCCAAGCCCCACTTCAGGGTCCGCGGTGACAGCACAGAGCCTGCTCCGCCCTGCTCTGCTTCTCTCTCTCTCTGCCCCTCCCCCGCACACGTGTGTGTCCAGACACATGCGCGCTCTCTCTCTCAAAATAAACAAAAGATACTTCCAACGAAAACTAACTTTAACCACGAGAGAATACACAGGGTATCACAAATTATTTTCAAAAGTCAACAGAATCATACTCAAAAGGTGCGATAAGAAACAAATTGCAAAGCAATCCTCACAAGAAAACCTTCAGAAGAGCATCAGTGAGCACTCGGCATCACGAAAAATAACCCCGTCTTCCAAAAGGCGACTGGTGGGCAGAGAGGCACCGGGTGCGGCGAGGCGGCCGCTGGAGGCCCTCAGAGAGAAGGACCGCGCAGCCGCGGCCCGCAGAAAAGTCCGGAAGGTCACCACTGGCAGGAAGGTGACCTCACGGACACCCTGAGTGGCTCTGAGGTGACACACTCACGACACGCAGGATCGCTTGCGTGCTGACGAGCCGACGCCGCGAGGAGCCCAGAGCGGCAGGTGCAGGGAGGACGGGGACCGTCTGGGGAGGGGGCATCAAGCCGGGAGGCGAGGGAGGTACTTACTCTGCAGCCACCTCTCACGCCTCAGCTTCAGTTTCTCCTTCTTGGGCAAAATGGCCCGGGTGTCCGCACCTGGGGACAGAGCACATGGGGTGAGTGGAGCGCGTGTCGGGAGGGAGCCCTGCAGCAGTGTCCCTCTGAGGCCCACAGGTGGGCCTCACCAGCGAACCCTCCCGCCCTGACTCCGGGATGGCCTCCAGGACGGGCCACCATGTGGCCGTGAGGCCCAGAGATGCCACACAGCTCACGAGCAGACACGCACTTTCTGGCCAGGCAGAAGCCTGTGCCCCCGAGCCGCACGGGCCCCCACTGTTTGGAATTTCTCTGCACAGGCGCTGCTCAAAGCCAAGGGGTCTCAGGGGAGTCCAGTCTAGGCAAGAGGTGGTCCCACATCTTGTCACCAAATCCAGCCACCGTAGTGAGAAAAACCCACTTCTCTTCACACGGCGCCTCCTCTGGGGGCCAGCTGTCCCCTCCCCTGCACTCGCTCCTGCTCCCCCAGCTCCGGGCCTGCCGGCTGTCCCACCGCATGAAGACTTCGCCCAGGCTGGCCTCCCCTCCCTCGTCCCCCAGGAGGGCCTGCACATCCCCTTTCTGTGGGCTACACTGTGTCCCCCAAATTCATGTGTTCAAGTCTTAATCCCCAGGACCTCAGAACGCACCTGTATTTGAAGACACATCTTTAATGAGGCGACTGAGGGAGAAGGTAGGGTGACCCCAGTCCAATGTGCCTGGTGTCCTCCTAGGAGATCAGGACACAGACAAGCACAGGGACGATGACGAGAAGACTCGAGAAAGATGGCCATCTGTGCGCCCAGGACAGGGGTCCCGGGGGGAGCCAGCCAGCCCTCCCAGCATCTCAACCTCCACACCGCAAGGGAGTAGATGCTCGGCGTCTGGGCAGCCTGGGTGCGGTGTCTGCTCCAGCCGTCGGAGCCACCCGTGCGGCCTCCTTCTCGGGAACAACGCAAAGCACCGTGTTGCCACCACCAGCCGTGCGGGAGGCCCGCCTGCCCACGCCCCCCAGGAGCTGCGAAGCCAGCCCTGGAGTTGCCAGGCGCCGAGGCGGTGGCAGGACGCCCCACGAAGGAAGGGGGCAGAGCTGTGACACTCCTTCACTAATTGCCTGAAGAAACCTGCTGCCCTTTAGGGCACATCTCTGGCAACAACCCTACGAACTGGCCCCGTTTCACAGGACAGAAAACCCAGGCTCAGAGGAACGCTCACAGAACTATGAGTGCGACCGGAAGGGAGCGTGACAGCTGAGCCCATCGGGCCAGCACCCTGGGGACCACGGTCCTGCAGGGTCCCGGAGACACAAGACTGGAATAAACCCTGAGCCGCATGGGCACAGGTGAAGCTTCGCAGAGAGCTCAGAAATCACACACGGCCCTGGCTGCAGGACACGAGGCTTCCCGGGTCCGTCTTGCTGACCCCGGGGAGGCCCTCTCCTCCTCGGCAGGTGGACGGGATGGGGGCAAGACAGAGGAGCCCCTGCCCCCAAAGCTACGTGCGGGGGCAGGGGGTGGCAGAGCTGACGCCACTGGGGCCTGTGCCGCGCTGAGCAGGCGTGGACTCCCAGCTAGACGAAGATGGCCAGCCCGTGTCGGCAGAAGCCACGTGCAGCCCCGAGGATGTGCCTGCTGGCGCGTCACGCGGGGCTGGGACTCCCCTTGTCCAGGCCCTTCCTTCTCTAAGGGCAGGAAGTGGGCGGGGCCGGGACTTCGCCCGGGCCACAGGACACCCCCCAGAGGAGGGACCTCTCACTGGGTACCGAGCCCCTCAGCCTCCGCCTCCTCATCCTCGAGTGAACAGTGGGGCGGAGAGCAGGTAACTCTGGGCACGATCCGTACATTTTCGACACAAAGCCCGAGAGATCGCTGTCGCCCCTTTGAAACTCTTCCGACCAGGGAGGGGAGGGCCGCCTGACCTGGGGGCAGGAGCAGAGCGCCACTGCCAGGCTCCGGGAGCAGAGAGGACGCGGTCTGCCGGCTCTCTGCCCCACGGCAGGGCTGCGGCGTGTGGGAACGTGGGCTGGAGGGCGCCGGGCCAGGCAACGCCCCACGCTGCAGCCGGGGTCTCTGCCTCGGGCCTGCTCTAAACACAGACCGGCCTCCAGGTTGGCTCCACTGCCTTGGCGTCAACAGGCCTCCCCAGGGACAACGCGGCGGAGCCCGGGGCCTGTTCCACACGGGGCCGGTGCTGGGGGACACGCACATCTCCCCATTTATCTCCACTCCACACAGATTTTCCTGCCCCGACAGCAGATCCCTGACGCCACTGCCACAACAGTCCAGAAACAAGCTCCGTCTGGAGGAAGGAGGTGCACCTGTCAGACAGACTTGTCACCTCAGGAACGTGCACAAACCCTGTAGCCCGAGACTCCCGGGAGAATTTAATCTCTTCTCCAAGACTAAGACCCTGCACGCCGTGGCCTTGTGTCGAAACTCCCGGATGTGCTGGAGCTGACCTACTTTTCACCGCCCTGACCCCTCACTCCCCTGGGGAGCAGAGGCCCTGTGACTTGTCAGTCACCCTCAGCAGCTCAGAACGGGGTGGGTGTGAGAGGGTGAACAGAGGGGCTGCACGGTGTGGACGCCCAGGACCAACACTGCTCCAACCAGCAGCCCCCACCCGTGTTGCGCCCGGCACCGTACCCACCATGGGGTCCGGCCGCCAGGCGCGAGCCTGATGCGAGGCAGGGAGGGCATCTGTGCAGCCTCGTGCAGGCGTCAGGGGCCTCTGAGGGTGGGGGGTGAGAGGTCCACACGTCCCACTGCCATGTCAAGCCACAAACGGGGTAATGACGGTGCCCTCTGTGAGGTCAGGGGGCATCTGTTTGGGGCAGGAGCCTGGGCAGCGGAGGCCAAGTGACCCGCACATCCAACAGGCGAAGGCAAGAGGGCGGCCTCCCAGGGAAGCATCTGACGGCGGGGCATGTAGGCAGCTCGCCCTCAAAGGCCCAGGGAGACACCTTCCCCGCACTCCTACAACTTGCTATAATTTGAAATAACTTGGAAATAAAAACAAGTCTACGACCAGGGAGGACTGACTGACTCGTGGCCACGCTGCATCGGGGCCCCCACCCTGCTCTGCCCCAGGAGCCTCCGCCCGGCAGCCCGTCCCCACGCGCCGGGGAAACGGGAACCAGACACACGGGCCCTGTGAGATGGCCGAGCGCGTGGGCAGTGAGGTCCCACAGAAGCCACCCGGAAGCACTGGCAGAGGGCCCCACGCGCCCAGGAGGGACACAGATGCTGCCACACTGGGCACGGGCGGCAGGCACCGGGACAGGCGCCACAAGCCCTGCTCACCTCAGTGTCCCTGCCGGGCCCCCCCCACCCAGGGCATCCGGAGGGTTCCAGAAGCCCAAACCCCCAAGAACCGGGCAAAGTCCGCGTTCTGCACTGAGGCTACAGCCTGGAAAGAGACCGATAAGAGGGCAGGCGCAGGGGCCGGTGGGCCAGGCGGACGGGCCCTGAGGAGAAGCTGCCAAAGCACAGGCTTCACAGAGAAGGTGGGATCTGGGGCATCAGGGCTGCCTACGCAGCCAGAGCCCGAGACCGGGCGAGGCAAGACGGCTGCCCAGGTGCACCTCGGGGTCCCTGGACGCAGTCGGAGCTGGAGCGGAGGCCACCTTGGAGGGTGTCTCTCGGGACTGTAGGAAGAGAGACAGGTCCTGGCAGGGGCGGGGGACCTGGCTCCGTGCCAGCCTTGTTAACGGAGATTCTCAAACACACGCAGGGGAGGGACACTGCGGAGAACCACGAGCGCTCCAGCTGCCCCCACTCCCACCCACCTCGGTCACTTACGGCAAACCCCAGACACACCCTCTCCAGCACCGGCTCTGACCCCTGCGCCCAGGTCCCTGCGGTTGGTGTCTGCCCATCAGAGTGTCCCCGGGGCCTGAGCCAACAGCTGTGAAAGGGGACGCCCCTGAACGCTGGCACCACAGTCCATGGGGGACACACCCCAGGAGAACAGGCTGAGATGGGTCAGAGGATGCCCAGGGGGACACAGAGGTGGCCTGTCCGGTCCACTAACCCCTGAAGCCCTCACCTCTCTCCAGTCCTAGCACCAAGCCCCTGCCACGGCCCCACACCGGGATCCCCTGGGCTCAACGCTGGACAGGCCGCCCTCACCCCTCTGGGTAAGGACACCTCTTCCAGGCGGACGGGAATCCCAGTCAGGCCAACGGGTGGCCCCACGGCATTGCTGAACTGGGTTCTCCTTAATAAGGACACACTGACAAGGCCTCTGCCACAGGGGCCAACGACCCGGGGCACCAGTTCACACCCCCTAGGAACTCCTGCTCCAGATAGAGCCCCAGAGAGCCCCCCGAGGTCTGCTCTGCTCTGGCTCACGGTTACCCCCACCTCACCTCTGTCAGCCTCACTCCTGTGCCGGCGGAGGTTAGAGGGTGAGGCCCTACGGCTGTGCCGTTTCACTGAGGGAGACGCTGAGGCCCAGGGGCAGGGCCTGCCCTGAACCACGCGAAGAGAGGCCAACGAGCACGTGCTGTACCAAGGCCAACAGGCCCGAGTGCGGCGTGGGCATGGGTGGCCCCGGTTCTGATCCTCGTGACGGATTTAAGCAGACCAAACCTCCAGTCGCCTTCTCCGCGCAGAAGCTCTGCGTGACCCACGACGGCAGAAACACCAGCCTCGGGAAAATGGGGCTGGGTGCGATCACGCCGGCCTCTCTGGTGTCCAGTAGGGGGGTTAAAAGCACCGTATGCAAACCTGGGCCCCAGTCCCTTCCAGAGCCACGATCCTGGGTGTGCCCTGACCTCCAGAAGCACCCCCGCCAGAGTCAATGCTACAGCTGCCTCTCCGAGGGGGAGAGGTGTCCAGCAGCATTTCTGACGCGTGACAAAGGGACGGCAACTGCACACTCTGGGGCACGTCGCCCCAGCCCGAGTGCCCACCCGAGCTCACGCCGGCAGGTGCCGGGAACACCAAGGCTTGGGAGGCCTGGCTGGCCCAGGGTGTCCTCGGGACCCAGTGAGCAGTTCACACCCATCCCAAGGCTCGGAGCAATTCTCCGGAACCTAAAAACAATACTTACAACAA